CGTGTCTACCAAAGAACTGCCGGTAGTATCAGAGAGTATATCGAGCCACGCCGCCATAATGATCCCCTGCGCATTGCAAGTAATATGGCTTCCTGAGAGCACTGGTGCTTTTATATTATTTATTTCCGGTATCTCCAATCTTGTGAAACGATTTCCTGCCATCAATTACTTAACAACTCCGTGTGACAGCTCTGTCATAGCGATAAGTGGGTTGGCCCTCACATTCTTCCACTAGAAATCAGACTCTAGCCATTATTTGTGAGTGTATAAGTTATATGAGGTCATTTAATCTAGTATCCAGTCTCTAATATCAAAATACTGATGGTATTTTCCTCTGGCCAAACGTCCTCTCGTTTAGTGCGAGAATTTAACTTCTGATTACATAGAAACTACTAACAGCTTGCTACAGCGCCCTCTTCAATTTTTGCGGTATTTCTTTGATTCGCAATGGAAAAATGAGGGCAAGTTATCCTCCCCAGAGATGCCACAACAGCTAATATAAATAAGTTGCATCGCCCCTTCGTCTACGGTTATATTTTCATACGTCGGATCATATTGTGTGCTATGCAGTCTGGTATATTAGAGATTGTGAGAAAGCAAGCGGGGCATGCTCGACCTGATACAGCTAATGATATACAACGTGCAAACACCATTTTTAGCCAAAATCATGATACGATTTATACAATAATGTTAAAAGAGGAGTCGCAAATGGATTGGAGATACTGTACACACACACACACACACACACACAATTCATTAACGCCCGGCGGCTGAACCGAAAGGGCAACTATCTCTGATCTACTACAGTGATACAGTGATATTCGAAATCAGTTTTAACTCAATTCTTCTACTCTTTATCTCCCAGGGACCCACCCCACACTCTAGTCCATATTAGGAAATCATTCCGCCAACCTCACATTTGTTCATGTATCTTTGACGAGTCAGTGCAACTTAAAGTAATCCCATTTCTTGACAATCCCACAACCCATCACAGCTACACCATGAGGACAGCCTAATACTGCAAATAACAACAAGGCCACGACAGGCTTTACCAGGTGAGGCTCAAAGTTCACCATTCAGGCAATTTGAAGAATATCAGGGATCAATCAACATACATTTTTGTAGTAGATGTAGCCCGCATATTACTTTCCATTGCGAGGGGTCAGGGCAAATTAAATACATCCATTCATGCGTCTATACCAGCGGCAACAACGTATATCATAAGTATATACAATATTGCACACTGAAACTTTCCACGGCATTCAAAGTTCAAAGTTGGTCCGGTCGTAGTGCTTTCTCGTACCCGGCCAGCGCGCACCTAAACCATTTGCTCGGCCTCATCTGGCTTTCCTCTGGCTCTAAGCACTATCTTAAGGCATTTGGCAGTGTCGAGAGTTGCAATGTGGTCCGGCCCTAGCGTTTTGTCGTACCTAGCTAGCGCCCACCTGATTATTTGCTCGGCCTCATCTGGTTTTCCTTGGTCGCTGAATAGTATCCCGAGGCAGAGCGCAGTGTCGAGAGTTGAAATGTTGTCCGTTCCTAGCGCTTTTCCGTACTCGGCTAGCGCCCACCTGAACACTCGCTCGGCCGCATTTAATTTGCCTTGGTCACTAAGCACTATTCCGAGGGTTTGGGCGGCGTCAACGATTGAAATGTGATACAGTTCCAGCGCTTGCTGATACGGAAATAACGCCTGCATGAGTGTTTGATCAACAGCAGTAAGCCGAGTTTATTGTATCGGTAGTTGAGGCTTTGTCGGGGCGATTAAGGGAAATCGTTGTCTAGGTATCCCGAGTCTGGTGTGCTGGAATCATATGTAGAGGTAAAAAATTCTCACCGCAAGATTTTAAGACTTATCACAGACACGCTAAGAATATAACGCGCTCTTACAGGCACACACCGACGATTGATTGGCCAATGAGATGTGATTGCTCATGCATTAGAATGACTTCACGTGATATACCTGCTAAGAGGAAGCCTTGGTGCGTACCGCGAGGGAATAAACGCCCGGCGGATTGATACACCTCCACCCCTGGAGACCACCACTGGCCTCACGAAGGAACAAGAGCCATAAGTGACAGTCGGAAATGGGAATAGAGACTTCGTAGGTGAGTGCTTAGTCACAATTAGCATGTCACTCCCATACCTTGGCACTCCAATGCAAGGTTGGCGGAATTATGTCCGAATATGGACTAGTGCGCTTGAGGTGGGGCCTCGGGAGGGAAAGAGGAAGAGAACTGAGTTAAAACTGATTTCGAATATCACTGTATTCGAAATCAGTTTTAACTCTAATCTCTCTCTTTATCTCGCTGGGCCCACTCAAGGCGCACTAGTCTGCATTAGGATATCTTTCCGCTACCCATGCGATTTCCCAGCGTACAGTCAGTGGGACAGACATAAGTAATTACATGGTACACCCCCCCCCCCCGCCCCACTTAGATTCATAATATTCTGCTGGTCAAAGAGAAATATTGTTGATATTATAATTATCACTACGGAGTGCTGATATAGTATATATACAGGATGGATCGAAATCAGTTTCACCAGCTGAACACAGATAAGTATTTCTCGAACCCCCCATACTGAAACACGCTAGTCTATCTATGTCTTAGCCTAATTATTTTCATTGAATGGAACTGGAATGTAGTATTATATAAGCCCAACCTTACGAAATATTGGTACCGTGAACACTGCCCTGGCATAGGCCCCAGAGCTCGCTCCCCAAGTCTTCACGTCATTGATCTGAGGGGCGTCTAACAATTTTTATATGTGTGAAAACCATTCGCACATATGAATCCTTTCTGTTGTTTTCCCCCTGCTACATATTGAAATCATCATTTGATAGTTCTGCAAACGAAGATGGTGTTGATCAGCCACACGGATCCAGATTCGGACGATGCAGGTAAAACGGCTGATAGGCAAGTCTGCTTAATTCCACTAGTGACACTGGTAAGTATCTAATTATGGACAGCTTTCAAAAAAGGCACACACTCCTTTGTCGATGGCAAACTCAGCTTGAGTTCTTCTTATATCAGTTTTGCCGCATAGTAGCTCCAGGCTTGGTCGATGACTGTCACTGGTCTTGCCCCGAGGCAGCAGAACTAAGTCGGCTATCTGAAAAAGTCATTGAGTTCTTTTGTTTTCATCACAAAGTAGCCTTCCAGTCTTGTGGCATATCGGAACAAGAACGTGAATTATTCTGCTCTGATTTGCATCGGATTCGGCAAATCCGACATTGCGCAGTGCACCGAGTTGTTGTGAACGCAGCTACAATCGCCAAATATGCAAAGAGTGCACAGAACGTGTTAGCGATATTGAAACGACTGGGGGGAGCAGAATTCGAAAAAGCGTTTGGTGAACAAGTACGCTGGGAGTCCCTTTCCCTATGTATCGCTGATATGATTAACTTTATATAAAAGCTAACCCAGTTTTTGAGCACGTTCTGGGATATTAGAGCCCCCCATGTCCCACTAGTAGCTCCGAATCAAGCACATAAGCAGCAGAGCGAGTATTCGAACCCAGATAATTCGTTAGCTGAAACGAAGACGATGAATTTCCAACGTATGCTCGAGCTACAAAATGTTGCAATGGAAAGGAGACTTGAAAACATTGGGAGAATGGTTGAAGATATGGAGATTTCTCAGAGGCGAAAAGCGGATCGCCAGGCGAGGTTCAGTCAACAGAACGAGGCATCTGAAAAAAGGAGAATTGAGAGAGCACAACGAAATCAGAAAGAACGAGAGGAAGCCCAACAGAAAAGGCAAGAAAGATCAAGGAGAGCTCAGCACGAACAAAATGAGGTCGTACAAAGGAATATCGAACACACTTGATTGCCCTGCTGCCTAATTCTTGCCACCATACAACATCAATACAGAAGCTATTTTTATCCGTTATTCACGTGTGTACTAGAATTCGACCAAGAACAGGGGTGAGGAGAAAGTAACCGTAATAGGTATAGTGTGTTTCGAAAGAGTGTTCAAGAAGTAATTAATCTCTGCGAGGAAACGGTGAAACTGGTTTCGATCCATCCTGTAAAATGACTAATATTAGAGGTCTAGGAGGGAAGAAACCAGCCTTTCACTCCGGAAAAAGCAGCTTCGCATACTATTTTTGGATGGTTTTTTTTATGATTACTACGCGTTTTATGTAGGAAGATGGTATAGTGGTGACCTAGTTGGGGCCAAGGGGGTGTAGTTTATGTCCACTGACTACGCTGGGAAATCGAATGGGTAGCGGAAAGATATCCTAATATAGACTAGTGCTCCTTAGGTGGAGCCGGCGACCTAAAGAGAGAGAGATTAGAGTTAAAACTGATTTCGAATATCACTGTATACATGTCATTATATATATAGTACTGTGTCTCATCAGAGCCCATACATAAAGCCTTGCAGAATATGTCATCTCAGATGTCAGTATCGCAGCAGATCCTCGTGGGTTACAGTACGTCCCGAAACTGGTGCAACAGCCCACACTCTTTAAGTGATGATTTAGCCCCACTGCCAAGAGACTTTAGTCTACATTGGAAATTATTTCGAGAGTTCCCGTGTATTTCGCCGTAATTGAATTACATAGTAATTTCAATTCTGTATTAGCTTGTAAATTCAACTTACGTGGCACCTCCATGCCCCTCGCCCGGAGCAGCTTTTCTCGGGAAACACTTTTGACTAACCCTAGATGGCTCCAAAAGTGGCTTTACAGCAAAGGGTTCCTCATGAGGCATTCTCTTTTTCGCATCCGTACTGCCAAAATGCGTTAGTCCATAGCCAGTTTTTCCAGGGTATCCTTGTCAGTGGGCTTGTATTGTATCGTATACAGAATATATGGCGAGGTGTATTCACTTACACATTCGATACTTTTGATACCTAGATTTCCATTTCAGAGCTAGCGTGCGCCAACCCCCTCCCTGTCCCCATCTAGTGGGATTGGGAGACCGACAGTGTTCCTCCGGAGATCGAGCTGAACGGTTTTCTACTACCATCATATTCAACATATCCTGAAAGATGTCAGATATATTCGGGTTTGATAACACAACCTTCCTCTCTCTGGCCTCTCTTCTTTCTGTGTCTCAAGGACCACAGGAAATCGCGGAATATACTACTATTAACAAGGTTCCGGATCATGATGAATGGGAGTTCGAAACTGACAATGATTCAACAATAATGCACCAGCTCTCAGGCTCTACATCAAAAGACCAGGTGCTAGCGAAATTCCTTGATCATATTGCCGAAACATTTTCCCAAGAAAAATCCATCCCACGTCATGAACGACGGCGGTCTAAAGCGACAATCAACGGAGCCATCCATGTGACGGCATCGGGTCTAGTCTTCGATCACGGCGCCCCGATTGTTTATGTTGCAAAAAATGGGATTGGAAGCGACTCAATCGAAGATAGCAAGAGAATGAAGATAGACGAAGAATTGGCAAATAGTCTGACGAAATGGGTGAGGATCATCGCATCTACCATGAAGCGACCAGCCATCGACAAGGATCAGATGTGGACGAAACTCATCAGCTACTACAAGCAACGTCTACATATCTACATATCTCGTATCAAAGGTTCATCTAAAGATGACCTCGCTGCCGCCTTCAATACGAGGTCGGATGGGATTGTTTTAGCAAAAGAGCTGCATGAATTGTCTGCACAATACAAGGCTGACAGCATACCCTTGGAGGTTTTGAAGCGCATGATATCTATTGCCTACCAGCTACGTCCTGTGGCTGCGCCCGTTGGACTAACATCCCATATTGGAAGGATTCGGCGCTCTGTATTCTTTTTAGGCCGCCTGAGATCTGCATATGAGACATTTAAGGAGACCGCCATCGAGCTTCAAAAATCTTTCAAAACTATAACCATTTCTTGTCTCCCTCCACCCGATGCCAGATGGCTGAAGAAGAGCCAACTGATTCAACGGGTTCAAGAGCTAGTGAAAATGGAACAAGTTCCACAACCGCAGAAACATCATCTTGACAAGCTGCGGGGTCGCCCGACCAATTTATTGACTACCTGTCATGCTGAGGTTCAGCTTCTTCTAAAATTCGAAGGTTCCTTTTCCACCAACACAGATCCTTTCCCATATATCGGGTGTAGTAAAATGTCATGTTGGCTATGCTACCAGCTCCTTACTCACTACAAGGATAAGAGGACGGATACTCGAGGATACTACCAAACACGCGGTTCCCATGGTACGGCCTACCCATTTTGGCATATTGCACTAGGCAGCGATTCAGTTTCTTACCCTGGCGTTCAATTCAACCTCTCTGTTGCTCTCTAAGATATCCAGGTTTTAATGCAGCAGCAGCTCAAGGATTTCCTTCGCACTCAACGACCAAAAAGAGCAGAATCCTCGACAAATGTGACAGTTGCGGGAGGAGCACTGAAGCACAGCGCTCTTACAAGAATGAGAGAAGCAGAGTCCTGGACTACGCCTGGTGGTACGGAAGGCGAGGTTGGTTGTTTGAAAGAACTTGTGTGCTCTAGGCAATGTATTCGGTTTCCGGCCACTGGAGAGCCTGCTCATTGTCGAATGATTGATTTTTACCGCTGTCCTACCGACTACCCAGGCACAGAGCCTGTGACCTTTTGCATACCTGACTTAAGCACTTACTGGGGCAAATCCAATTTCGACCGCGCCCACTGATGGATATCGATCAAGGACCAAGACCTAGCCGAACTTAATGGGGATTATCTTTTCTACTGGTGCCGAAAGGATGATCTTCCGCCAAACAAGTACCTGATGAACCTTTTACGGATCGACTCTGTTCCATTTGAGGAATACTTTTGGTATGGTGATGTATTCATCACGAAGTTTCATGAGGACGAAGGCTCATTCAGATTTGATTGCGAGGACGTGCCTGATGCATTTTTAAGCCTCGAGCACTTGATTGAAAATATGATTCGCTCGGAATGGGAGCGTAAAACTCCAGAAGATGAGATTCGCAGGTGGCAGTATTTTGATACTAAGCAGGAAAAAAGAAATGCCGACAAGCAGGTCATACTGGAGCAAATGTAAGACTGACTCGTTAATGACAAAATACCTATACTTATTTCGCGTTTTTAACACATTGCCTTCTATTTTAGGACTTTGACAGAGCGGAGTATACTGGAAATGTTTCCAGGTATGTTAGAATACTTGGCAGTTACATCGTGCGAGGATGGAGCGGTAGTGGACGTGTCTTTTCGGGACAGCCAGGTTGATTCAGGAAAAATGGAGATAACAAGGCTATGCCGCAAGACTGCTCTGCAGCAAAGAGGCTGGAAAGGATTCTCGTCGAATGACCTATAATTTCTATGTGCGTTGTCATGGCTAGTTGATTTGATTATTTCAATATAGTGGAACCTCAGTAATGTCGTCAAACACAAATCTTGTAATACACTATGGGAGCGACCTGCATGTCTGAGGATACGGAAATATCGATCTTCCGAAGAAGCTGTTTTGATATGAGCTAGCGTATTTTGGCAACCCGGATCAGAGAAATAATCGAAGAGTGTAGGTAGTGCCACCAGTTTCGGGACGTGCTGTAAACAAGTTGAATGATTTGCCTCTCGATATAAGAAAATTACTGTCGTTGATTATAGAAGGGATGCCTCCGATTCTAGTAAGGGCAGTAAGCAAGTAATCAAGTCTCTATTTGCAGGTCGGCTGCCGAGTAAGCCCTCAAGACTGACTTGGACATAGGAGCGGAAGGGAAGTGACAGGTCATCGGTTTCTCGAGGGACTGCCAAGCTCTAGTGTTTGACTTTGTTTGCATTTCCATGGAAAATTCTAGTTCCTTGAATCGCCAATACAGTTACGAGACGAGGCGCCGTATTTTAATGAAAGTGAATCACGGTATGGAGACTAGTACGGGAATATTGTTATTCCGAATTAGGCCCCAACATGGTCTAGTGATTCTTGGCAGTGGGGCCAAATAATCACTGAAAGAGTATAGGCGGTTGCACCAGTTTCGGGACGTACTGTAGTAATTTTGGGAAATTCGATCACTGTATCTGATCGCAAAGAGCGTACTATACCGCTGATAGAACTCGACTAATCGAAAACCTTAGAGGCCGACTTTGGAGTTTTGCGGAGTGCCACGTGGCGACAGTACCGACTCCCTGTACTGATCGAGGGTAATGGCGGGACGGGCCGCGATGCGAACCCCTGAACCGCCCGACCGCGACGAACGCGGAGACTCACCACCGCGACTGTCGAGACCGAAACGCACCACCAGACCACCAAGAAACTACGCTCAAGAACAAGAGATCGACAATGAACAGAGGAAGACGCGACCCCAGCAAAAGAAGAGAATTGAACCCGAATCTCAGCCTGACGTGGCAACTTCGGACGACTCCGCGACCGAGAGCGACGACCTCGATGTCAGCAATTTGGTAAAGGAGCTGGTCAAACTCAGGGAAGAGATCCGACGGCGAGATGAGCTGCATAGAGAAGAACTCCAGAAGGTCCAAGAAGAGTTTCGGAAAGCCAAGGAGGAATTTGGCGTCGCCCTTGCAGGAGTTCGACACGAGCTACAGACCCTGACAGATAGCCCCACGACACCGCAATCCTACCCCGAGGCATGCTCTCCGAACCACCATGATGAGATTCTTCGCGAAATACAATCCTTGCGCGAGGAGATCAGCGTTCCCGCTCCCACGGGATCTCCGTCGTATGCAGATGTCGCCCGTACACCCCCGCTCAGCCACCCAAGCAATATACGGAGTCTCTCGACATCGAACACAACACCAACTACGTTTACCGACACATTGTACTGCACAATCGACACCTCGGAGATGGCAGCAAATGAAAACGAGAGGATGTCCGCAGGCCCAATTCGGGCGGCGGTTGAGACAGAGATTCGGGCGATGGAAGGCCACACGCACTAGCGCTGTCGCGCTGTCACCGTGGACCCGAAGACCACCAACCGAATCAGAATAGCGTGCCGCGACGAAGTTGAACACCAGCTGGTTAAGAAAGTGGCGGAAGGCAAGATCGGCGCGAGAGCGCGGGTGCTTCGGGATGAGCTGTACCCAATCAAAGTCGACAGTGTTAACAAAACCATCGTGCTAGATGAGAAAGGTGAACTCCGAGCCGGAGTGGCAGCAGCCTTCAGCGAGGAAAATGAAGCTACCGTTGCCAAGATTGCATGGCTCAGCAAAAAGGACAGTGCAAAGGCCTATGGGTCAATGGTCGTCTACCTCACCAAAGGCAGTGATGCTCGAAGGCTCCTGGCTGAGGGGTTCTTTCACGCTGGGGGAGAATCTGGGGTGACCAGCGTCTTCGAACACCGACCACGACCGACGCAATGCTACAACTGCCAAGAGATTGGCCATAAGGCATTCCAGTGCAAGAACGCACAGAGATGTGCAAAATGCGCTATGGAAGGGCATCGCCACAGTGACTGCGACCAAACCGTTCCCAAGTGCGTTCCATGCGGGGGTCCTCATGAATCGTTCAGCAGAAATTGTCGGAAGCTCTACCCGTCACGTAATGAGTAGAACACTCCGAGTGATGCAACTGAATGTGAGAAAACAGGGAGCAGTGCAAGAAAGTCTCATGAACGATGAAGATACTCAAAATGCAATGGCACTAGCGATCCAAGAACCCCAGGCGAGGATGATTCAAGGCCGGCTCTTGACCACCCCGATGGGACACCACAAATGGACAAAGATGGTTCCCTCCACGTGGAGGGAAGGGAGATGGGCGATCCGAAGCATGCTGTGGGTCAACAGAGATGTGGAAACGGAGCAAGTGCGGATCGAGTCGCCGGACCTAACGGCGGCCGTCATTCGGCTTCCCGAACGACGGATTTTTATCGCATCAGTTTATGTAGAGGGAGGGGATGCCTCTGCATTGAACAACGCATGCGATCACCTCCGGAAAGCAATTGCAAAGGTACGGCGAGATTCGGGGACGGTGGTGGAGATTATGATCATGGGAGACTTTAACCGCCATGATCAACTGTGGGGAGGAGACGATGTGTCGTTGACCAGGCAAGGCGAGGCAGACCTAATCATCGACCTCATGAATGAATTTGGACTCAGCAGCCTGCTTAAACGGGGCACCAAGACATGGCACGGCGCAGGATATTCGGGGGACTGCGAGTCGACGATCGACCTCGCTCTCGCCTCAGAAAACTTGACGGACTCGATGATCAAATGTGCGGTCCATGGAACGGAGCATGGTTCGGACCACTGCACCATTGAAGCCGTCTTCGATGCTCCGTGGGCTGCTCCAAAACAGCCAGAGCGACTGCTGCTGAAGAATGCGCCGTGGAAGGAGATCAATGCTAGAATTGCAGGAACACTAGCTGCCACTCCGGTGGAAGGCTCGGTGCAGCAAAAGACCGACCGGCTGATGTCCACGGTGTCTGAAGCGGTGCATGCCCTGACACCGCGGGCCAAACCGTCACCACACGCAAAGCGATGGTGGACGGCGGACCTGACGCAACTCCGTCAGATATACACATACTGGAGAAACCACGCCCGCTCGGAAAGACGGGCAGGGCGAAAGGTGCCACAGCTGGAGGACATGGCCGCAAGCGCCGCGAAGCAATACCATGACGCAATTCGGAAACAAAAGAAGAAGCACTGGAATGAGTTTCTGGCCGACAACGACAACATTTGGAAAGCCGCGAAATACCTGAAGTCAGGAGAAGATGCAGCCTTCGGCAAAGTTCCGCAGCTTCTCCGAGCAGATGGAACGGTCACCACTGACCATGAGGAACAAGCCGAAGAACTTCTGACCAAATTCTTCCCGCCCCTGCCGGAGAACATTCAAGATGAAGGAACAAGACCACAAAGAACGCCGGTAGAGATGCCGGTCATCACTATGGAAGCGGTAGAGAGGCAGTTGCTCGCAACGAAGTCTTGGAAGGCGCCAGGCGAGGACGGCCTACCGGTCATAGTGAGGAAAATGACCTGGCCCACGGTCAAGCATCGCGTTCTCGATCTTTTCCAGGCGTCACTGGAAGAAGGCACGCTGCCGAAACAGTGGAGACACGCAAAGATCATCCCGCTGAGAAAACCGAACAAGGAAGACTACACTATTGCTAAGGCGTGGAGACCGATCTCACTCCTCGCGACGCTAGGCAAGATCCTGGAGTCAGTGGTGGCAGAAAGGATCTCGCATGCAGTGGAGACCCACGGCCTGCTCCCGACCAGTCACTTCGGGGCCCGAAAGCAGCGGTCCGCGGAGCAGGCACTCCTGCTCTTGCAGGAGCAAATCTACGCGGCGTGGCGCGGCCGACGGGTGCTGAGCCTGGATCAGCTTCGATGTAAAAGGGGCATACAATGGAGTCTGCAAAGAACGACTGCTCCAAAGGATGAGGGCACGAGGCATACCGGAGGGCCTTCTCCGCTGGGTTGAGGCGTTCTGCTCTGGACGGACGGCGACCATCCAGATCAATGGGCAACCATCGGAGGTTCAGGACCTGCCACAGCCTGGACTGCCTCAGGGCTCGCCCCTGTCTCCGATTCTATTCCTCTTCTTCAACGCCGACCTCGTGCAAAGACAGATCGACTGCCAGGGAGGAGCAATTGCCTTTGTGGATGATTTCACCGCATGGGTGACCGGGCCAACCGCGCAGAGTAACAGGGGAGGAATTGACGCAATTATCAATGAGGCGCTCGACTGGGAAAGGAGAAGCGGAGCGACTTTTGAAGCTGAAAAGACGGCTATCATACACTTTACCCCCAAGACGCATAAATCGGACCATGAGCCGTTCACCATCAAGGGACAGACGGTTGTGCCCAAAGACCATGTGAAGATCCTGGGCGTCTTAATGGACACTAGGCTCAAGTACAAGGAGCAGATCGCGAGGGCAGCGTCCAAGGGCCTGGAGGCCGCGATGGAGCTGCGCCGACTTCGGGGTCTGTCCCCAGCGACAGCGCGGCAGCTGTTCACATCGACGGTAGCGCCGGTCGTGGACTACGCCTCCAATGTCTGGAT